CAGATAAAAATTCACATATATATAATAAAATGATGTATTTGTTTATTCTTCATTTAAGATGAATGATTCTTAATCTGAAATCTTTGTGTATTTGCTTCCAAAAAATCCTATTCAAAAAAAGTTTAATGAAAATTTTAGAAAAAGTTAAAATTTCAGAAAATTTTAAAAATATGCAACTATCAATGAGTTTCAAACTTGACATTTGCAAATAACAAAAACAGCCTTCATCAGGTGTATGTCAATTCAGGTAACCTACAGTGAACTTCACACAGAACTCTTTATTTAATCTACTGGGCTCTCATTCCACTGCTTATGTCTTGTTCTTATTTTTAGTACTGTTCATTTATTGCTCACTTTGTTTCCACTGAGTCGAAATATACACTGCCTGATCCAGGGATTGAACTCACGATTACTATGTCACCAAAGTCACAAACCAATCCACTAGGCTATAATCCATTTTAATCCACTAGCTCCCTTAAATTCTGGCAGAATCATTTATGCATTATGTTTTCTGCTTCTCATTACCAATCATGATGAATGGATGTCCCCTTGTAGAGGCCCCATGCCTCAAGAAGATATTGGGCCTCAAACTTACACCTGACTTCATGTGGAATTTCTATATATAATCTATTGCTAAAGATGCAGGTAAAATGATCGGCTCCCTGTACTGCTCCAGTACGTACCTGACCCTTCATGCTACCCTCTACCTTTATAAGAGCCAGATCAGGCTGAAAATGTCGTACTGTTGCCATATTTGGGCAGGAGCTGCCAAGACCTCACTCTCCAATTTTCATAGTTCAAAAGCGTCTCCGATTCCTTGTTGGAGAAAGATTATTTTTCACCCTCCACTCTCTCTCCCACAGGTGGTATATGGCTAGTCTCTCATTGCTCTGTCACTGCTTCCACAGAAAGTGCTTGGACGAACTTTATCTCCTGGCACTGACCTTTACGGCTAGGACCCACCATGCCACTTACATAGTAGCAAACCTTCCCTCTATATTCCATTGTCGAGAATTAAGTTCCACTCAAACAGCTCTTTCCTATGAACCGCAGCCCCATGGAACAGTCTCCCTAGAGGATGTTTCTCTGATTACTACAACCTTAACCTGTTCAAGCCTAGAGTTAACTGTTATCTTCACTTCCTATCCATATAAACTACTCCTTATCATAACTTTCTACCTTAAGTGGCCCCCAGGCCTTGTACAGGGTGAACCTTATTATTTTAAAAAAAAAAAAAAAAAAAAAAAAAAAAAAAAAAAGGCCCCATACCTGAGTACCTATTGGGACTTAAACTTAAAGATCCATTGCTAAAGATGAAGGAAAAATGGTCAGTTTTTTGTACCACTCTCATAAGTACCTGACTCCTTGTGCTATTCTCTTTACAAGAGCCAGATCAGGCCTAAAATGGGGGTCTGTCGGCATATATGGGCAGGAGCCGCCCAGTCTTCACCTTCCTGTCTTGATAGATTTCAAAAGTGTCTCAGCGTCCTTTTGGATGACAAATTACTTTTTACTCTACAACATCTCTCTCACAGATAGGCTGTGGCAAGCCTCTCATTGTTTTATTGCTATTTCCATAGAAAGTGCTCAGACTCTGACAAGCTACATATCTTAGTTCTAACCTTCACAGCTAAGACTTGCCATGCACATTGTAGCAAACCACCATCATTCCCTTCACATTCCAGTGGTGAGATGTAAGTTCTATTTGAGTAGATTTTTCACATGTTGTTGCTTTCCCAATCACTACAATCTTAACCTGATCAAGTCTAGGGTTAACTGTCATTTTCCTCACTTACATATCTGTAAAAACTTTGCCTCTTACTCTGTAACTCTCTACTCTGAGTGGCTTCCGGACCTTGTATAGAGTGAGCATTACTGGAAAAAAAAAAAAAAATAGAAAAAAGAATTTAACGATAAAAATGTACAATTTAGTCATGATGTCTGACAGGTAATTGTAAATAAAAATGTTTTGCTAATGACTTTAATGACTGAACTGCAATATGCTAATATTCCTTATATAGATAATCCTGGGTATGATGATGAAATAAATCCAGCAGCAAGTCCTCTGATTGAGAGATTGGAGGTTTTGAGGAGTGTTGGACCATCTTTAATTGCTGTTGTCCCCAGGTCCACCCTGACTTGGTGTGGTAGCACCTGTTAGGGTCCCAGCTATGGACAAATAATAAACCCCCAAACAAAAACAAAACACTATAAAAGTATAAAAATGCATTTGTAGTTGAAGGTATGCAATTGCATTCAAAATATATTTAATTGAAACAATAAAATTGTGTTTAAAATATTTAGATTTCAGCATTAAATAAACCATAGAGGTGTTGATATACCGCTGAACAATACAAACCAAACAACAAAATCTTTATATAGAAAATAAATGCAAAAAAGTTACTCTGAGCATGAAAATGAATTAATTTGGGAAATTATTTAAGGTGATTTAACGGAAATGTTTAAATTAAAAATAAAATTACAACGTAACAACTACCCTGGGTACATGGTACTGCGGTCCATATAACATCAGGACAACCTTCAAAAGCTTGACAACACTTCGCAGATATCTCTCCCGAGTAAGCCCCCCCCCATAGAGGAGAACATGACTAAAGACTGTGTGTACGCTATTCCATGCAGCTGCGGAAAGGAATATAAAGGAGAGACAGGCCGCCCCCTCAAGGTAAGGCTTCAAGAACACCAGAAAGCTGTAACACGAGGGGAAGTAGAAAAATCAGGCGTGGCTGACCACATATGGAGAGAGAAAGGAGATCACCGCCCTCTGTGGGATCATGTTGAGATCATTGACAAGGAACACCATTGGAAAATCCGTAAACTTAAGGAATCAGCACACATGCTAGGCCACAAAAATCTCCTGAGCCGACCAAGCATAGAAATAAATACAATATGGGAACCAGTAATAAGGAGTGCCAGAGAAAAGCAATGATAACAAAGTTGCAATATGATCTCTGGTAAAAACATGCAATGATAACAGCAAAATTGCAATATGAGCACTGTTAAAAATGGGGGCTGAAGATGTTAGATTTATAATACCCAGAAATTCATACCCAGATGTCCACATGGCACAGTGGATAAAGGTGTTGGTTAGATCCAGTGACAGGACCCAAAGAGTGAGCTCAATACCTGTTTAAGGCAGTGGAGAACTTTCAGAGGGAAATTAACAGGAGATAACTGATATCCATTAAACATGGCACGTGGAACTAGAACAGTTTATCCCAGTGAGCGAAATAAAGGGTTCACTTTGACACCTGAAGAAGGCTGGAGCATACAACAGCCGAAACATTGTAATAAATATGGCAACAAAGATGAGGACAATAGTCCGAATAATGTAAATAATACCTCATCTCAGAAATATAGACAGACTCTAAAAATAAAATTATGTTTTTTTTTTTTTTTTCCTATAAATTTCAGCTACCGTATATTTCCACATATAAGAAAACTTTTAACTCCCGAAAATCACCCTTGAAAATTGGGGGTTGTCTTATACTCCAATTCTAAAAAAGAAACCTTAAATTCTGAATGATGTTTGTCTCAGCCTTGGTCCGATAATAACGTCTGTGAAAATATTCACATTATGAAATAAACTGATAATAAAAGTAATATAATCATTTCTACCTTATATATTTACTGGCATAACTTCATAATAAATTGCCTATATGAAGAATAATTACATATCAATGAAATCAAGCTCAGCTGAGAAAATGTAACCATCGAGTTATGATTGTTCACAACAACCATTATTTTTTTGCTAAACTTTCAATAATCATCATAGTAGGGTTAAATACAGAAGTAATAACATTTAGGATACCATAATATTCATTTCTCATTAAAAATTTATTATCATTTTGGTGTTAAATAATAACACAATTTAGGATTACATACAACCTTAATTTTTCAAATAAAAATCCTTTTATAGTAGTTGCATTTAAAAGAGGAAGAAGACTCAGTATTCGCAAGAGGTCACATGATGAAACATAAACAAAAACATTGGTTTCCCTTTTAGGCGACGTGTGTAGGAAAAACATGATATACAATCAGTTTTGTTTATTTTGAATTTCTAAGGTTACAGTAAGTAACAACATTTCCAATAACATCATCTTTATATAATCAATAAGCAGTCATAGTACAAGTGTAGGATAAATTCATGAAAATTTTACTATATTTTTGACCTCATCTTATCTAAAGGTTGCCTTATATGCAGAAATATATGGTAATTTGTTGTTGCATTTATTCATTTTGAAAACTTTAATATTTTAGTTTTTTAAATTTATTCACCAAAAGTTTTAACCCTGGGTTAGTTACATGGCGGGTTTTGTTATCCCCAAATTTTTAAAGTACTTGTAATTCCTAGTTGGTAACTTATTCCCTCCCACTACTCCCCTAACTCTGTGAGAGTGTGTAGCATGCAGTGTGGCACAGTTGTAGCTCAGTTTTGGGGGAAGGAAGTCACCAGGGAACTATCCATTTTTGGAAATCCAAGGTGACTAATGCAGGGTTAATGTTGTGTTTATTATGCTACTAACAGCCATTAATGATCAGTCAGTCAGTTATACATGATGCATACTTGAGTGATCAATTCATGACTAACTGGCCAGAAAATTTTCCTGCAGTAGGTTGCCATTTCTTTCTGCAGTAGACTGGTTGCCAACCAAGGCTATAAGACCCAGTCTCTCCTACTATTCAGCCAATATCTGGAGGAGAAGAGATAGATTCATACCTTTCCCAAGGGTATTAGAACATAATTGAATGAATTTGAACTCGGCTCTCCAATTTCTCATTCTTAGCCAATATCCATTACACCACAACAGACATAAATTTAAAAAAAAAGTTATTTTCATTTCAGAACAGTTTAAATTTTTGTTTAGGGGACAGTTGTTATTTATCAGGACAGTTCTGGGATGATGGTGAAAAAAAAGTTCCTCGGGTGTCCTGACTGATTTCTTAATTTGTTTTATTTACAGAACTGAGAACTATTCAATATGGAGGCTTCATCTATCAGAGTTGGGATACTGGAAATTCAAGGTGGCTTCTCTGAGCATCGGACTGCCATACTGAAGGCTGCCGAGACACTAGGAATGAAAGAAAAAATAGAAATCCTTTCTGTTCGTAAAGCAGCAGACATATCTCCTGCACTGTCTGGTCTGATCATCCCAGGCGGGGAGAGTACCACAATGGGGTTGTTCATCTCAAGAAATAATATGGCATCTTCACTCCAAGAATGGATACAGGATGAAAAACATATTACGTGGGGCACTTGTGCAGGTCTCATTATGTTGGCTAATGAGACAGAAAAACAGAAGATTGGCGGTCAACCCTTGGTAAGTACAAGTGAAGTAAATTTAAAACAAATTTGAATCATTAAGGGTAATGGTGAGATGAGCTATTTCCTTATAAGGAAACATTTGACATTTATTGACAAAACAGTTGGCATTACTGTCAGATGAAATTTATAAAATCTTAAAAGAGTTTTTCAGGAAATTAGACTTCTCAAGTGCACTAATTCTTATTGCTCTTTCTAGTATTGATGGAGGTTTCCTTTCTAACCTTTTGTTTATTGTAGTGTGGAAAGTCAAAATCTTGATTATTTTCTCTTCAAGTTACATGTGCTATTTTAGTTGCTGCTGCTGTTAGAAATCATCAAGTGGCAGCAATTTGTCTGCAATTCTGTAGCTCCAGTCTATGAGATCTGATGAAGGATTGTCTTCTCTAAGACTGTGAGGGTTCATTTACTTAAAGCCATTTTTAATCAGTCATCTGAGAAAATGGTTGTTTTATTGATTGATTGATTCATTTTCTATGGCTTATCAGCCCTTTGCTGGTTATTTGAAGCCAGAAACTATTTTTAGATTGTAAGAATTTTTTTTTTTTTTTTTTTTTTTTTTTGAGATAACAGTTTAGTGATAGAAGTTTTTCTAATTAATCCTTAGCTGGGGAGAGAATAGATGAATTCATACCTTTCCCAGGAGTATTTGCACATGAGAATGTAATGAACACAACAGGAATTGAACTTGGCTTTCTTCAATTAACAACTCCTAGTCATTATCCATTACACTGCCCACATATTCAAGCTTACAGTATGTGGTATTCCCAAGCAGTCATCCATCTAGGTATTGACCAGGCTCGACATTGCTTAACTTTGTTGATTGTACGGGAAGTGGTTTTTCAACATGATAAGCATCAAAAAACAAAATGCTTGTATATAGCTGATATTATAGACATTTCTGAAAAAGTTGGTTGCTATGCATGACATCCAGATGGGAGTTTTGATACGACAAGGCTATTTAGGGCAAAGTGAATACCAACGATGTTGGACTCTGTCAATGCCTCTAAAACTGAATTCATTGACTTCAACAAGCAAGGTTCAATACAAACTGTCCTACACAGATCAATAAAATCTATCAAATCTTTTACATACCTAGAAAGTGAAATAAATTTTACTGAAAAGGGTGTGAAAATTTGCATAGATAAAGCTGGGGCTGCCTTAAATAAAATGGATGTAATCTGGAAATCTGATCTACCAGACAACCTTACATGGAGATTCTTTTGAGTCACTGTAGAAGCTGTTAATGTATGGTGCCATTGCCTGGACATTAACTAAAACCTGAGTCTAAGCTTGATGGAACCTACACTCAGATGCTGAGAGCTATACTTAACATCTCTTGGAGGCAACATCCAACTAAATCACAGCTCTATGGGCTCATCCCTGATATTTCTACAATCTCATGTAAATGCAGAATGTGCTTTGTAGTACACTGCTGGTGGGCAAAACGAGAACTTGCGAGTGATATACTGCTCTGGACACCTTGCCATAATGCAAGCCAGGCTGGTTGTCCAGTAAGCACCTACATTGATTAGCTATGTTATGATACAGAATGCCTTCAGGACTGTGATGGCTTGCCTGATAAACTCATGAATGTCCAAGCAAGTCCAGTTGAATAATAAAAAATACATGCAATATACTGACTGTAATAACATTCATCAGTATTTGTTTTTGTAAGAATAAGATTAACGTTATTGTTGGTTATGTTCTTGTGTAAAATAGCCCTGGAAGGAAATTGTCCATAAGCTTGTCTGGCAGATGAAATAACTATATCAGGGGTGGGTAAGATTTATTCATGGAGGGCTGCATCATTCTTGACCCTGTGTAAACCCTGCTGTATCACAATAACAATGACAATATAAATAACAGTCATACATGTGTAAACCTATGAGTCCCGCTCACAGATTTTCACCAACAGGACAAATCCCTCCAATGTTCTGTCTCAATTCCAAGTTTGTCGATGTGCACAAGAACTAGGAAAAACCTGATGTGCATTCCCAAGGGAAACAAAAAGTGCTAATCAACATCGCAGTGAGATGTGAAAACTAAATGTTTACCAAATACAAGGCCTAAGAGCAACTCAAGGTAGAGTACTAGCAATAAAAATTGTTGGCATTAAATAACCCATTGTGGTTGATATGCCATAAAACAAACCAAACCAAACCAAAGTTTAAGTAAGTAAGTTTAGTGCATCAAAGCATACTATACCTTTTCACTTTCAATTTGAGAATAGTATCTCTCAAAATGGGTCATTTAGGTGGTACTGAAGGTGCTTGAATGGTAAGAAAAGGTCATGGGGCACAAAAATATAAAAGCATGTCCAGGCGGTGATGTAAAATCTGCTTGGATAATTTTAAATTGAATTTATGGTAAATGGTGTCAACTAGCTCATAAAGCGCTATTCTGGGGGTTTTCTTCAATTTTGTTCTAAATAAAATCTTTGTGCTCATTTGACATTTTTTCTGAACCTTTGCCCACCTCTTGAATTTTCCTTTTCACCTTAGGATATCCACCTGCAAACAGTTACCTGAGGGATTCCAATTTATTGAGCATTTGACCTTCAATCTCCATTTGATTTGTAAACAGCCAGAATTTTTTTCATTTTCACTCTTCTTGTATAATCTTGGCATAGTATTGAATTTTAAGAAACATTTTAGTCAGTTAAATATATTTTTCAACCTTGATATATTAAAAAAATGGATTACAAACTTTACAAGTTTTGCTTTCAGTTCATCCAAATTTAAATTCATAAAATTTTGGATAAAGTATTTCATTATATATGAAGATCTTTAGGTAAATAATTAAGTGTTTTATCAAATTCAGTTTTTAAAAACAATTCTAACTTTAAATATATAAAAGAATACAAATTTGATTGGTTAATTTTCCATCTTTTTTTACTCAAAATAGATCATTCCATTTTGAAACTTACTATTCTCAAATTGAAAGTGAAAAGGTAGAGTATATTTGAGTATGGGAAATAATATTATAATGGTACACAAACTAGTTAATATATATATATATATATATATATATATATATATATATATATATATATATATATATATATATGTGTGTAAGAATGGATTTTTATTAATCCAATAGATTTTTCATCATTTTAAATGTTATTTTTAGTGGATAAATGGAGCGCCTACTCAAATACGGTGGGTATCCATTAAAAATAACATTTAAAGTCATACACACACACACACACACACACACACAGAGTAAGTCCGTGTGTTCCAGCAGTCCCAACTTATAACAATTACATAGTTACTCCATTAATCTTGTTTTGCCTTATGCTCTTTGCCTGCAAATGGTGTGTTGAGAGAATGCATTTATTCTCCAGATTTGCTACTGCATCTGCATACTGCAAGTGGGACAAGATGTTATGTTTTGTCATCGCATCTACCAAGAGCCAATGACATCACTGGCAATAAATATACAAGCAACGTAAAACAATTTCATCTTTATTATTTTCATTTTATTACATGTATCATATTTATGCCCTCCATGTGTTTTTTAGTCCTAAATAATTATGTTAATAGATGTCATAGAAATGTGTTATGTCCTGGATTATTACTTTACTATTACATTAGGATAGGTGAGTGATGTAAATGCTTAGCCGTGTGTACATTCTAACTTATGTGGAAAATTGTGTTACAACACAACAGAATTCTGTTGTAAGTCAAGGACTCCATCTGTTTGTATATATAGGATTAATACAAATATATATATATATAGGGGATTTCTTTTTAATAATAAATTTGTTGCTCACTGGTTGGTATGTGATTGATTGATTTGATTTGTTTTTCTTACTGTTTATCAACCCTAAAGTTGAATTTTGGATTGTAATAATAATTATTTTTTATCCATTACAGCACCTGTACATCCTGGTTGGCATGTAAAAACCTATTAATTGCTCTAAACCTTAGATATTTGAAAGAAAGAAAGAAAATCCCTGGAATAAAGACTGAATAGTTAATTAAAAACTCTTATGTGGCTTAACTCCAAATCCGTTCATTGAAAATAAAAATTCAAGTATTTTAAAATTACTGTTTTGTAGTAGTAACTGTATCTTTATTAACTTTCTTCAATGGTAAAGATGATAAAAATAATTGTCTAAATAATGTCATAATAACATCATCTGTTTTTACTGACTATTCAACTTTCTGCCACACACCGATTTCTGTTTGTGTTGGTGTGAACAAAATTGGGAAAGGCCCTTCTGTGGGTTCAGCAAAAATACTGAAGACAAGATATTACACGGGGAGAAAAATCTTCAATACAGCTGTCTCAAAATATTACTTAGTGAGAAAAATGAGAAATCTGTTGGTTCCAATAAATAGGATTTGACAAACTTGGACCTCCCTACCTGCAAAAACATGAAATGTCACAAAGATGGTTTTTCAATTGACATTGTTATTATTTTAACTACCTTCACTCTTCGTCAATATTTATTTTTTTAAAAAAAAGTGATAATTAAAATTGAAATAAAACCTAAACATATGAAAGCAAATTTATACATTTTCTTTGTTTTTGAGAATTGCCCACAAAAATAATAAATACTATTTATTTATTAGATTATTGGAATGATTGGCAAAGCATTGGCTAATTGTCAATTGATTCAAACAAGTGTGCTGAACGTTTTAGTAATGTTATAATTCAGTGTAGTCTGAGGAGAGACATTGAAATTATTTTTGTTTTCCTTAAAAATTGCTCATGTATCAAGGGAAAAAGGTGATCAGATCCTGTGTAGTGAAGACAACAGATGGAAAGGAACAGTCTCTTCATATCTATATCAGTCCATCCATATCTTTCTACCTATGTCTATCTATCTATCTATCTATCTATCTAATTCTGTTCATATGCTATCTGTCTATCTAGCTTTCACTTTTGTGTAATTCTTGATTGTTTTTGCTTTGCGTTGCAGATTGGTGGACTTGACATTGTTGTTTCTCGAAATTACTTTGGACGGCAAGTGAACAGTTTCCAAGAAAAAGTGAAGATTATGGATAAAAGCCTTTTCTCAGAAGCAAATATACCCGACCATTTTGAAGGTGTCTTTATCCGAGCCCCTGCTGTGGTTAAAGTGACTAGTCCGAAAGTGACCACCCTAGCTGTCCTTTCGCAATCATGCAGTGATAACCCAGGCGTTATTGTAGCTGTACGACAGAAAAACATTCTTGGAACTGCATTCCATCCAGAACTGACAGAAGACTTACGATGGCATAGCTATTTCTTAAAAATGATTGCATCTGTCCAAGTCGATTGAACATGACAACTCCATGCATATATATATATATATATATATATATACATGCCTTTGTGCATATTTCAGATAAATATATATATGAGTTGAAAATGTGGATTAAATCTGATGGAATAATTAAATAAGGAATGAGTAAGAAAAACTTTATAAATTTGACATGTTTCTCTATTTATTTAGCTTCATCTGAAATTATTCCTCTTCCCAAAATTTCTGATGCAGCTAAAGAATTAACAAAATGTGTTAAATTTATCAATTTTTTTCTATTTGTTCGTTATTTAATCACACGTACACACACACACACACACACACACACAGTTTCCCTCAAAATTTATGCATACTTTGAATGATTATAAATTCAGTGTTTTTTTTTTTGTTTTTTTAATGCATTTAATTTTAAAAAGTTTAATAGAATCAGCAGACAGGATTTAATTTTTTTTTTTTTTTTGGCAATGTGTGTTTTTAAACCGCTCACCCACTCTGGCACAATTACTGCTGATAGCAATGGAATTGCAAGCATTTTGCTGTGGATATATCCACTCAAAATTTCATTATCTTTAACTCCAGAAAGTGAATTTGACATGACATTGAAAAGAAATCTCTCCTTAGGCTGCAAGAAGTGGATATATTTTAAAATTTTTTAGTGGATAATTAACATCATTACAGGAATGACCATGAAATTTAATTACACAGTGAAAGGGTTAAGAAACATTTTGTCTGACATTTTTATGCATTCTCATTTTAATGATTACCCTCAGTTCATCATCTTTTGCTAGTTTTGTAAAGTAAACCTTATTTTTTAAGTATTGCCATGAAAAAGAAATTTATTGGTGTAAAGACGGAGTATAGTCTTGTGAACTTCTTTGTCCAAAATACACTTGTTTGGCAAAATCTCATCAAGCTATGCCCTTATGTAACAATGGTAGTGTGGAGGTGCTGGAAACAAAACTCGTCCTCAAAGTTCTCTTGAGCGTGTAACAGGACAGAATCTCACAGCAAATTCTAGTAAACAGAAGCATAAAAAAAAAGAATTGTCCACTGAATTCCTCTGTGGATAAACCACATAACCTGAAACTCCTGTGAAATGGACATGATTGTTTTTAAACAATATGCAGATTCTTGGGTTCCCAGTAGGTGCAATTGTAGTGGTTAATGAGCCATTTAATTTAAATGTAGCCTCATCAGTCCAGAAAGTGTGCATCTTGGACATATCTTAACAAGAACCGCTCGTAAATCTCAACTCTTTGGTTTGGATAATCTTCAATGAAAGCATTCTTGGAATAAAACTTTGCCTGCATTCAGAATGCAATGGATGCTTAACTTTGAAATTACTGTCTCACAACTCTCTACTTCATAGATTTTCTTAAACACTGGTGATACATTTCTTATATTCTTTCTTGCTTTGTGGGGCTATTCACTGTCTGCATTATTGTGGAATATTTTGTGTAGACATTCTGAACAGTTCCATCTGTTTCGGACTTAGCCTTAATTTGGGTGATGATAAGTCATATAGGTGGATCCGATTGAATCTCCCTCCTGAACTGTTTTATCATTTCAACTGTTTTCATATTTCCAGTAACACTTTAGAATAAATTTCCTTCATTCAAATCTTAAAATTAAGATAATTTTGCTGATAAAGTAAAATTCAAATTTCCATAATATAAATTTTACTTTATTGGCTACTATATTTCTCTAACTCTTCAAATATTGGATGTATAACTAATTCTAATTTCTATATTTCCATTTTTACACCATATTTATTATAACTTATAATTGTCCCCTGTTTTAAGAACTCTTTTTCCTTTTATAATTTACACTTCTTTATCTATATATTTTATTTTTTTTTTAATTATAACTTTGTATTTTTAAGTATAACTTTATAATTTTTAAATATAACTTGTTTTTGATTTAACTTATCTTTAAAGTTATAAATTTTATTTATTTATTTCCTTTTTATTTCTTAAAGTAAAATTTATTTTATCTTATATTTTTTATTCTTTAATATAACCTATTGTTTTTATATTAAATAATTCTTTTTAATTAATTTTAATATAAATTATCTAAATATGACTTATTTTTATTTTATTTAAATATATCTTAATTTTAAATATAATTTGTCTTTGGAAGAGTATTTTTAAGTAGGATTTTGTATTTTTAAACTTAACCATATCTATATAATTTAAGTTTTTTAAAAAATCCCTTTTTGTTCCTCTCTTAGTTTCAAATTAACATTTTATTCTTCATATAACCCCAATTTAATGTCATAAGGTTAATATCTGCGTTTAATTTTATAAAACCTCTTCCCTTTAAGAATAATACCTTCCACCCACTGTCTCGTGGCTTTTATCTGACTGAAACATTGAAATGGGTAAATTCTGTATTAGTTTTTCAATGTTTATTTTTTTTTTTTTCACAGTTAAATTTTTAATTCTAACACAAACTCAATCTATACGGGGTTGAATAAGAGTGACAAATTATTATAGTTGAAATAAGCCTATTCCCCATA